TACTGAGACAGTAAAACTAAGCACGAGACACACTATAATTACCCTGTAGCAATTATTGATCATTGTATAATAAAGGTTTTATACTGATTTGAAATGGATGAGTTTGACCTTTAAATGTCAATTGTGTCCAGTAGGTCAATTCTGTTTTGCTTTGTATTAACCAGATGAAAAAACAGAACTTCCAACAATTTATCATTTTTGGCTCTTCTAATCTGATTATCATTTTCAGCACTTTAACTACAATCAGTAACTTTAATAACAGCACAGGGGATTGTGTCTACTGAAGACCAATGACTTAACTGTGCTAATCGGATGAATGGTCATTTTGAGTTTTTATTAACGCTAATCAGTTAAACTATACGTAAAGAGTCAATTTATTTAGTAATAAGTTTGCCTCTAACTAGTGTTTACTGCTTTTGAGTCATTTTTAAAGAACATGGTTCTTTCAATTAAAATTTTCCATATATGGACACAAACTTAATGTCTTCAATGTCCACTCCTTGGGAAGCCACTATATCCTATATATTTCCTACCTGTTCTATGTTAAATTTTGTATATATTGTGTATTAATATTGGTTTTGTATTTTATTGTACCCTAATGTATCAATGCAATGTTTTGTGGAGCCAGGACATACTTGAAAACAAGAGAAATCTCAATTTATCTTATCTGGTAAAATATTTTATAAATAAATAAATAAAATAAATATCCCCAATTTTTCCCTTCTAGTCACATACATTTACAATATTTCCCCAGCCACATTATCTCCTATCTTCGTTTAACCTTTTGATATTTCCCCACAAGATTTGAAATGACCCCTAATATCCTCCACATATCCATGCAGATATAAAGAGTCAGCATCCACCCTCCAAGCCAGCTATTCTTTCCTAACCCTGCGAACCTTATGAGCTTGGCATCCTTTTCCCATAATCAACTATGCTAAGGGGACAAGGATTTTGCAGAGAGCACTGTGCACCCTGCATGTACTGCCCTCAGTGGGCTGGCCTGTAGAATTTACATTTATCCTTTCCGGGCAGCAAAAGGGACTCGACTCACGTCACTGACCTGTCCACAGGCATCCCGCATGCAGGGACATCTACAGTGGCAGGTATGAGAGTTAGGTGCATTGTTCTCAAAATAACCATCCAAATACATAGGATTTGAAGAAAATTAAGTGAAGAGAGTGGAATATAATATAATAAATCAAAAATGGCACCAAGAGAACTTGAGAAGGCCTGTGCATTATATATATTTTAAAACTTAATCTGATGCTTGCTGTAACTGGAATATGATTGAATGTATGCTGACGATTGTTTAAGTAAATATTAATAAAAATATTATCTAATGCCAAATATTGACATTTTCCCCTTAACAGCAATTGTGCGTGCATCAGAGCTTACATTCATGTCATACAAACAGCAACATTTTTATAGTATATTTATTTAAAAATATATATTTTGCTTATTCACAGCGTATGTAATGGCTACGTATTGGCTTTACTAGTGCTCAGCATGCAATAATGTTAAATCCTAACCTATTGACACCACTTATTATTATTATTATTATTATTAATTGTATTTATATAGCGCCAGCATATTCCGTAGCGCTTTACAATATTATCAAAGGGGGAGATTTAACAATAAATGAGACAATTACAAAAACTTACAGGAACAATAGGTTGAAGAGGGCCCTGCTCAAACTAGCCTACAGTCTTATACAGCAGTTGCTTATTGAAAATCATATTCTTTTGCTAATGTTTTTTTTTTCTTTGAATTCTTAATGAATGAAGACAAATTACTAGCCCAACAGACAGTTTTATTAGCATGCAGAGGCTGTACAACGTGTCTACGACTCATATCAGTAAACGTTGAAAGAAAACTTCACAATCTAAACACTATGAATTCAAAGGAACCTCAAGTCATTAACTAATGGCTAGTGGTTCTCGTTGATTTGAACTCGGCTAAACAAGTGGTTTGATATCTTAGCCATTTACCTGTCAGACAAAACAAAAAGAGCAGCGTCCTTATTTTTTCCTATTGTTGAGCATTTCTTATAATTTTGTATTTTAGCTTTTTAATTCGATCTAGGATGTTTGTTCTTGTATATTTGTTCAGGGAAGGAATTAACAAAGCGGGATCCTCGCATAAAAAAACAGCGCGTAAAAACTTCAAAAAGATTATGAAATTCTTGAGACTGTCATAGATCATTGAGAAACCTAGAATGTAATTGACTCCGTCATCACTAGTGTAACTATATCGGCAGCTTACTCATTGGCCTAGAACATGAATAACTGCATAAGAACTTTTGATACATCTCACTGTATACTTTTTCCACCTGTGTTACTTTTCCCAGATTTGTAGCCTTGAAAACTCTTCATTTTTAGCAGCAGAGAAAGTTGTTGCTAGTGTGTAAATTAATCGGAAATGGCATAAGAATTTTTTTTTTTTTAACCACCGAGGGGAGGAGGAAGGCGGGAGTTTTTAAGGTTATACACACAAATCTAAAGTCATATTACAAGGCCTTCGGTTTTTATATGCTGGCTGACTGTGAGATGAAATTGATTAAATATCCAGGTCGTGCACACAAATCTTTCACTGTAAGCTAGGTTTCTCAAAGTTTGCCAAAATTGTTTCTATAAATAATATAACTCTGTTTTACTATTTTACTATAGACTTTTGTAATATTTTATTGCTCTGCTATGTTCATAGACCTTAGAAAAAAAAATCAATATTTACCTTGTTTTTCAACTGTGTAAAAGACAAACGTTAGACATGATTATGGATATCACAAAATAAAAAAATGTAACGACTTCTATTTGTGGCTGCTGCCTTCTCTAACCCTCTTTGAATGTAGGTTGTATGTATATATGCACACATGCATTGAGGACTAGTGCAGAGATATTTACTGCCCTAGGCAAATATACAATATCCTACGTCTCGCTTCAGTTTGTCTTTCCATCTTTTTTACCTATCTAGTTACTCTTTCTAACAGTATGCTGTATATATTTTCAAAATGTTTCCCTTCTTCCTACTCACATTTCTATATTTTTCTTGTGTTTCACTGGACCACTGACAGGAATGACTCTGGTGGTCCAAGTGGGTGTTTGTTCGTTTGTTAGTTTGGTCTGTCTGTCTGTCTATACATATATTTTTTTTTCTTAATTACAGTTTGCATTGGAATTAATCAGTTTAGTAGCAAAACTGTATTGCTATGGGAACTACAAAAATATGTTATTTATAGTACTTATAATACAAATGAAGATTATATTCTATCTGTAAAGAACCCCGATATGAGATTTTGCCTGGAAGCTACATGTTGGACATGATTGTGGCCTTCATAGCTTAGGGTCCCTTTTACTTTTATTAAGAAATACATTCATAGCAGTTTATCATTGCTGATTAGAACCTGATAGCAATGGGTGATTTAATTTCCCATCACATTAAAAAGACATAGCGATGCAGATTGATGTGTTGTAATGGGTTCAGTTTCTTGAAGTTACATGTTTCCGATTTACTGTATGTCACATTAAAAGATAATGGTTCTCTAATGGTCTGAGTGCTTGCTGTATATTCTATACCCCTCTTTAACCAACATTTCCATTTGTATTCTCTAATGAGTAAAATGCAGTGAACCATGAGAGCTAATATCTCTAGTGCCTTCATTCTCACTTTTTGTAAAAGCAAGACAGAAAAGGATATATGAAGAATCAAGAATTCTGGATTCTGTTAAAACCTAGTGCTATATTTTCTTGCTAGCACTGTTAAGGTTATATCTGGGTTTACCTGGTTTCCTACAGATTCTATTAACCCCAAACATTTCTTAGATGGATACCCACCAGTTCCATTTTTTAAAGCATTATTGAGATAATTCCCCCCCCCCCCAATTTTTTTTTACTGTTTGCTGCAAATCTTTCATTTTGCATACAGCCATAGAGTGGCTGCTCTTTCTCACGACTCCTGTTCATTTTTGGTTTTAGGATGGCTCTGTGTGTATCATAAGCCTGCAGTACATTTAGGATTTATGGAATGTGTGGTTCAGTACTAGCAAGTGATGCAATTCATAAAACAAATGAATGAAAAAACATTTTCTCATTGAAAGCTAAAGTAGACAAAAAAGGTGATTCTCCTCCCCCCCACCCCCCATTCGTTTGTGTACCTACGTAAAAACTTTGCAAACATTTAACTTTTGCAGCTCTTAAAACGATGCTATGGGAGTTTACATTTCATTGTATGTTTTGTATGTAAAAATAATTAAAATCAAAATAAAACAGGGTGGTAGGCAGCTAGGGCACTTGGAGGATGTGCAGGATAATGTTTATATCACTAATAAAATCTGATGGAGAATTAAGAAGTACAACATACAACTCTATTGATTTCATTTCTTACATTTCTACTTCATACTAGCAAACGAAGAACTACAACAAACAAAAATTGTGATAATTAATAAACTATTTCAATTTCTGGATAGTAAAAAACTCTCTAGTTAGAAACATTATTTTCTCTGTGTTGTACTATTACTTGATGACAATCTAATTTCTTGCTGCAGATAGCGTTAAGTGCTCAGGGCTATTTTTATAAAGATATTTCGATTAGACACTTGAGTTTTGAATTTTAAAACATACCCAATATTTACATAAAACAACACATTTGGGATCCACTATTTCACAAAGTGCAATAAAACAGTATAAAGTCAATTATAATCTCTGTATTACATTTCTTAAACGCCATACTTCCCTGTGGAATCACTAAAATAACAAGCCTCTGTAATTTGCTTGGATATAATGAACAATTAGAGCGGTGTATGCTTGAAAATGATTCTTCTTACTAACATTCTCGTTTCCAAATCAGTGTGTGACATCCTCTGAGGGAGGTTGGCATTTACCTAATTTGGATTTTGAGACTTTTCTAAATGTTCAAAATGAAGACAAAAAGTTCTAGAAGCAGACTAATTCAATTTATATTTTACACAGTTCATTTAAATGTTTTTTTTTTGTTTTGAACAATTTACATTTTTACCCATCTATTCACCATTTTATAATTTGACACCCTCCATTTGCCCTTCGTTTCACCTTTTCCCTAATCATTTCATTATCCTCTGCTGTTTGGTCTTTTATTTATTAATATAAATAAAACTTTTGGGGGGAAAAAAACGGAAAACATTTTATTGGTCGTCTATTTATTTTTATGAGTATTTTCCTCTGGTGGGCTGTTTTTAGAGAGGAAAAAAAGAACACTAACGTGAAATAGCTAATTGGGACTCCAAACTCTTTCACATTGACTCAAAAATAACCACTGTAGCAGAGCTCCCTGTACCTTGGATGGGTACCTCCGCCAAGGACTGCTTTCTGGCTGGAACAGGGGAAAACGTCAGAGCTTCTTCCCCAGTAACCGTGGCTTGACTGGGGTACTCCTGGAGCCTCTGCGTCCTGAAGCAGGATAGGAGACTAGCTTTATTCCCTCTCAGGTACTGGACGACACATAGTCCCGGGAGCTCTAGTCCTTACAAGGACTTTCCACGCCGAATCCTCCATGAGCTGGAACAAGGTGCTCAGCAGTGATTATAGCCCTTCCCCTCCCAGTAACTAGACAATGCATAGTTCTGGGAGTACAGCTGGTTTAATGCATCCAAACACAGCCTTTTTATACACAGATCCCAGTAGGGGGTCTCCACTGTCTTCACCACAAGCCCCTCCCAGGAATCTCTGGGTCTGGGAGATAATTGCGTTAAACACCAGTAAGCTAATTGTGGCGGAACCAACCTCGCCACTGGCCACAGTAGGAGCCTGGTCACCTGCCTCCTGCCACTGGACTATGGCCCCATGTTTGGCCCAACACTGTTCTTTTTCCTTGCAGAAAGGTTGGTTCATGCCTCTCTGCAGACTGTTAAAGCCATGCTACCCCAGATAGCTATGCCATGAGCGCCATCCGGTAATAATGTGCGCTCAGATCTCAGCTATCTGGGGATAGGTAGTATGTGTATGTTCTATGTGATAAATGTAACAGTATGTATTTTTATGTCTTTTATTGTCCTTTGTCTGCCTTGT